AAAGTCTCCAATTGAGGGCAACATTCCAAATTTTCTACAACAGTAATTCTGTTACTGGAGAGGTTCAATGTTTGCAAATTCACTAAATTTTCCAAATTTTCAATTGTAGTGATGAGATTCTGGTTGAGATACAAACATCTGAGCTTATCCAAGTGGCCAAGGTTTTCAATTTTAGTGATGGCATTACCCTCAAGCCATAAAGCTTTCAGTTCAGTGTATAATTCTAAATTTTCAATGACTCTGAAGCCTCGGTGATGAAGGAAGAGTTTATCATTCAAATAGGGTGTTTGGAACAAACTTTGGCGAGAGCACAAGTCCCTGATAACATCTACAGTTATTCTTGGAGTGTGGTACCTTTTTTCGGCGCTTGAGGGAGAAGTTTGGGATGGATCTTCTCTTGTTTCTGTTTCTGTTGTAGGTTGTGGGGTTGTTGGTGTGGTTGTTATTTCAGTTTCAGAATCAATCTCCTCAATGATTATTTTACTTGATTTTGTATTAGACGTTGTTGATTCTTCATTATTTTCTGTTGAGGATGAGAGAGATCGAGCCCTAGAGAAGAAGGAGAGCATTTTTTTTAGATGATAATTCAACTACCTGTTCCCAAGTTGTAGTGATATTTTTGCGCCAATAGACTGCTCACTTTGTAATCAACGACTTTGTATGTTGGATTATGAGCAGTTTATTGCACTGGTGTATTCATAGCATCATAGAAGATAAAGTCTTTGTTGTAATCTAATTTAGATACTACAGTAACTCTGAAGCTCAGATATGAGCACAAAATAATTTATACATTCATCTTTGAGCGTACAATTGACCTTATGAATGGACTTTTTGACTGTTGGCATGGACAAAAAACAAGCAAGTTTTAATTGCGATATTAAAATCGTGACAATGATAATAAAAGGTAAATAATGAAAGAGGAAGATTACAAACTATTTCAAAACATTTATTAGTCACTAAATGCATCTGAAAAGAAGGGAGAACTACTTGGCATTTGAAATTTGACTCTTCAGATGTTTAATAGGAAGTCCTATCATAGTTATTAGGGTATTCACGCTCTATCGCATTTGTAAGATAACATACCCATAGGTTACTGGAGAAATAAGGCTCCCAATTTTCCTCTCCTAAAAGAAATCCTTACCAAAATTAATATTTTTAGTCACGTGACTCCTCCACTCTCAATATTTCCCTATCAAAAAACAACTGCTGCATCTTATCAAATATCTTGGTGAGGAAATCCAACACAGAATGCTTGCACACATGAATTGGAGAACGTTGCTTCTCACAAAACCAAAGCAAACAAAAATGCCGCCAATGCAACCTCCAAATAACAGTCACCAGGAGTGTGGGGAGACATCATGTGTTGGTGATGGAGATCAACATGAAAGAGCAGAGAAGGATGAACGAGTTGTGAGTGACTTTCAGCATTCAAGCATGCAACAAGTATTTTTGGATGATACATCATCCGTGAATATTTCTTCTCGGGATGAGATGATAAAGCAAAAAACACAATCCAATCAAAGTAGTTCATGTAGGAATAATCAAACAAGGCAACTATCTAAAAATTCATCAGTATATGGCAATGATTTGTTGGATATTTCTCTTCGAGAGGAATTACTGGAAAAAGGAGAGGACATTGGCGTACATGGAAGAAACATGTTTCATTTCGGAAATGAAAATGACAATAATTTGGATAATAGTTCTACGAGTTCTTTGTCTGTGGAATCATGTGGAGCTTCTCCTCATAAAAAGATGGTCAATCATGAAGAAGAAGAGGAAGCCGTGGAGGAAAATAGTATTTCAGAAGAGGCAAATTTATTCCCAATCTCATGTACAGCGTGCAGAAGAGGACACAAAAAGGTAAGTTAATTCAGTTCTGATTGGAGGATATTTAAATTGATGAAAATAGTGTGGGAGACAATTACCTATTTGTTTGGAATGTAAAGCAAGGGGAAAGGTGTGTCAATATCCAGAACCAAAAAAACGTGGAAGAACTGTTGGAAGTAAAAACAAACATCCAAAGAGGAAGAGTGTCACCATGACAATAATGGGAATTGACAGTTTTAAAAAGAAGAATTCTGGATATAATATTACCCTTTCACAATTTGACACTAGTCACACAGTTAATGAATCTCAACAATTTTCCATTCAACAACCACCAATTCAAGAATCAAATGGAAAAAGAAGTGGTTCTTATGAAAATTTCCAATTAACATCTGTGAAAAAGAGAAAGGTGGGAAAATCTAAGAAATCTTCTTCGACTACAAATAATGAAATAACTCCTGAACCTCCTCCATCTGTACATACCTCCACTACTCAACCCATTTCGAATAATGAAGTTAATTCTTCATTATTTGCAAATGCTCCTCCGTTTTCATTTATTCCCACTCCAATCAACAATGGAGCAGAGCTTGTAAATACTAATCAACAGCAACAACAAAATATTTATCATCAACAACCACCATACCGACAACAATATTTCAATGATAATAGTTCAATAATGAGCGGAATGCAGAATATTCAACAATTAGATGTTGAGAGTCTTGTCAATACCATTAGAAGTGTACTCACTACTAATTGTGATCAACAAACAATTGAAACTCTTCTTGGATTAATTGTTCAAAATGGAAATGCAGGAATAATAATGCCAATTATTAGTCAAATGTTAATTCAGAGACAACAGACTGATTTTATCAGTCACCAACAACCTCAAAATGCCTCTTACAATTCTCCAAATAATGGATCAAACAATGATGTACGAGATTCAATCAGTACCATTCCACAAGTAATAGATGATGCCGTTTATTCCACATTTGAAAGAAATACTCTTCTCCTGCCAGTTATTCTTCAACAACAAACTATTGAACTCTTTTTTGGAATGGTCAGTGCTGGCGTGCCAATCATAACAAGAGATGTCTTCAACAAGATTATTGTAAATAAGGAAGCGTACGGAACCATGTATCAGTACACAAGTTTACTCTACTCCATTCAATCGTTTTGCTTCCAGAGGGCAGGAAATAATACCAATTCTGTAAGGGCATTTTACAGAGGAAAAGAGCTCTTGTGTATGGACTATAACTATTCATCTCCTCCAAGTTATTTGATTGCTGCCATATGTTGTTATCTAGGATCATTTGCAGCTGCATCCTATATGAATGATGAAGCTGCTTCATTGGTGGAAACGACTGGAAAGTTTCTCTCACAGCAAACTCAACTTGATGAATCTACAATGTGTCTTAAGAGAGGTTATCAACTCGTTCTTCTAACATTGGGGGATGTTGATAATGAGGAACAATATATTCCAAACTTTATGCAAAGAAAACTGATAGAAGGATATAGATACAGTTCTAGTCAGAGTGTAATTCCTGATAGTTTGAATAATATTTTGAAAAAGCCAATTTCACAAGAAAATGTACCCGACTATTTACATTTTGTGAATGCCATTGAACAGGAGTATAATGCCTATCATTCAAAGAAGAATATTCCAGAAAGGGGAAGATTACTAGGAAATTTACTCATTTCAATCAGTGTCTCATCCTACAGATTATTGATATTTAGAGAGTTGGGATTTAGAGGAAGATCTTTAAAACAGTCAGCAGCTAATCTGTCAAATTTAGCTAAAAGCCCCTTATTTCCTCATATCCCTGCATTCCTCTTGACTGGGTTGTCCAAGTCGTGGAGATCCCATTTGGAAGCAGTTGAAGAGATTGAGAATGATTTTTTCAAAGCTATTCCAATCGATGTGCAAGAGTTTATCTACTTTCATGAAATGCTTTCTCTAGATCTTTATTCTGCTAATTTGATTGGAAAGAGGTTCACTAAAGTATTCAACGCTTTTGGAAAAATCATTCAAAGGATGATTGACTGTACAAAGAGAAAGGACTTTATTTTGGAAAAGTTGAAACTCACAAATTCTAATCATCAGATAAAACTGAACTTGGATTTGTCCAGTTTTGAATAAATCCATTCTTGGTAGCATTTTGTGGTTTTCAAAAATCTAAAGGTTACGATATCTGTTTGGTCTGAACGAATCAATCATTAAACCAACAAACATTAAAGAAATAGGAGCAAGAGTGAGATATGAGAAGTGACCAACACTAACCAAAGCTGTACTAATAGATAGAGCCATAGGTATAAATTGGTCCACCTTGTCTGGTGATTTGATATCTGATATAATCTCCTTAATTGACGCAAAGCATAAACTGAGAGAAAGTGGGATAAAGCTCAATAAATTTCCACTATACTTGAACAGAGAAAGGGAAATAAAAGACCCCAAAGTAGGATCAGCTAATTTGTCTGTAATTGAGTTAACAGAGGAAGAAAAGCAGGAAATCCCCAAGAATGCAAGGCCAGGATAATGAGAATAATAAAATAATTTGCTTACTATGGATTCCAGCAGGGAGAGTTCAACCCCAACAGTTTCATAAAGGAGAGATCTCATTAAAATCAACATAGGTCTCCAAGTAGTGGTGTAAAATATTGATGAAATAGGTGCCATGTAAACAACACTGATATCCTGCGACCGTAGTTTCTTGTCAGGTTTAACAATTAATGAACTGATACATTTACATGAATAAAAGATGGAAATTGTCATTGATGCTAATATAATTCCCACTACAGCTCCTTCAAAAGGCCAGAATGCATATGGAAGCCACCATAAACCCTTCTCCAAAGACCATTGGTCATTTGGTGTGCTCCCAATCTTTCCCACAATGAATTGTGCTGTCATTGAAAACATAGTACCAATCATAAATAACACCTTATTCATATGCCTTCGTTCAAAGACAGTTGTCAAGTCCTCAATCTTTCTAAGTTTCTTAATTGGATTCCATCTTGAATATTTTAAACAATCAACAATCTTTTGTTTAGAATCCACATATTTCCTCACATTTTGATACTTGTCCACAATTAATTCATCATCATCATGCCCATTGGATTTTTCATTCTTCCTCTTTCGTCCACTAGTAGCTAGTATAGCAATTTGAAAAATTGTTTTAAAACCGAAATTCCATTCCGAATAGGATTTTCCCAGAATTTTCCAATCGTGTATCCTTCTCTAATCCATTGATGATTAGCAGAATGATGATATTCGATCATTTGAGAAACAACAATCGGAGAGTAATTCAAAATCCTCTCCATTCTCTTATTTACATGCGAGAGTTGCACAATTGTGATCGGATCACTTGTCGAGTAGCCCAGAATATAAAGTAACAATTCATCAGGAAGTTTATCCAGTAAATTATTCTCTAATGAAGCAATAGCATGCTGATCTTCCCTCTCTTGTAATGACATTTTTTTAATCTGCTGATCTCTCTTGTTGTGTGTGATTTTCTATTTGATTTCGAGCAATCAAAATTTGACGATACCTACGGTGGACTTGATCCGCCGACCTACTAATCTGAAGTTAGTCGCTCCCTGCTGAGCTAGTAAGCATCAACTCAGTTGACCATTGTAATGGTTTAAGAACAGTAAAGAACCAATCAACCAATAGCCAACAATTCAATTGACAATAAACTGATCAAAATTAATTTATTAAATACTCTCATCAAACAATAGAGTAAAAATAATGAGGAAAAATGGTTTCTTGTATTTACAACTTGTTGACTTTACCAACAAAAAGAACAGTCTTACTAGAATCATCAGTCAACACAAATGCAAATGGTGAATTGACCACAAATCTAATTTCATTTGGATCATAACTCAAACATCTCATCACAATAGCAGTTGCTGCACTAGCCTCAGCACCTGCTTCATCAACCTTAATAGATGCCTTATGAATGACTTTATCAATAAAGATACTTTCCTTTTGGAGGAGGTGAGAGAAATCGGCCTCATTTGTAAATGGTTTCTTAATGTTGAATGGAGCATTTTGTAAAATGTCGCTCAATTCCATTCCTTGAGAGAGTTCGAATTTAGGGAAGGCAAATGAGCCGAGTTTAGTTTCTACTGTTGGGAAGGCAGTGTCTATTCCTTGATTCAATTTTTGAGCAACCCATCCATCAAGTGTTTGTTGATGAGCTTGATTCTTGACAGCGACGATGGTCATCTTGTACTTGACATCAGAGAATGGCATGGTTACCCAATGATATTCACCTTCAGCACCATATTGTTCCTTTGAATTATTCTTATTCATCAATCTACAATTGGTTTCACCATCAACACCAAAGAAATTGCTGTCATAGGTGTCTTGTTGATCG